ACGGGCTACCCAAAGTGGGTCGCCATTGAAAGCTTCCGCTTCGCAAGGCTCCCTCTTCGATACACAAGATGATCTTTTTGACTTCAAGTCATTCGAGAATGACAACTCGGATGACAACGACGAGGGTGTCGATATCCTTCAAGGATTTGGAAAGATTGGTGGAAAGTCGGCGAATGCGACCACATCCACTGGCCATTCCCGTCGACCTTCTCTGGGTCGCAGCCTTACTTCACGCTTTTGATGTGTTAATGAACTTTGGTTGATACCCGCTTGTCCACAGATGGCTGAGTGGACTGACTCTTCATGTCCTATGTTTTTCTTTTCAGGAAAAAATTCTTGGTGATACCACCGGACCGTTGGATTCATCGAGACTGGTAACGGACGGACGCTCCGCTGCAGTTGTGCTTGGGCTCTTGGTGCCTCCCCTGGACTGGACGAGCCTCATGTGCTCGGACCACGCCATGGAACAACTGCAGAGATAACTTTGCTATGATGTCAAGAGTTTACGAATTGTGATTATGCCCTTTTTCTAATGACGATATGGGATTGTATGACAGTAATGGAGACTATTATGTGGGAGGAGCTGAAAGTGGCTCGACAACAAGCCCATAGATAGTTTTAGCAGCAATGCAATGAGAATGCTCGTCTCGGCTCTTTGGGTCCGGGATGTCAGTCGATTCAATCCCGCACATGCTGTACTGGGTCCGTACAGATACTTGTATGGTCATATTGCGAAGATCTCACACCACGGGCCTCGCCTCGTCTCGCGCGAGGTTCCATGCGATGCAGGCTGAGTCATCATCAGACATCAACGTTGGTGGGTGGTTGGTGACGCAGTCAAGGCAGCGCCAGTCTGCGCCAGGATGATCTTTCACGCGCCTGCAACCAATGGCCGTCGGGACAAAGTAAGCCAGCTCGCTGCAGCTCTACGAGGTACCTGCATTAATATATTGGTCAGCGTCGAGGCAGGATTGAAGTGGTCTTGTTCTGACTCGTTTGTGGCATGAATACGAACAGGCTCACTCGAGGCGTCGGTTGCGGCATCCTGAGATTCTGCGTTTCGAGGTATTCGACTATAGAGGCACGGAGCCTTACTACACGAGCGACATTGGGCAGAGGCACAGAGCTGAGACCTTCCATGACTGATCACACCACCCGAAAGCCTTTTGCACAATCTCTACTCGATCAAGCACAAGTCGCGGGACTGTCCACGACGACACCGAGAAACAAGATGAGCCGCCGTACGCCCATAGCACCCCAGCGAGTCGATGCACCGCTCACCCAGTCGGCAACCTTCCTCGTCGTTTCCTTGACTAACAAGCCCGATGCCGTCAAGACGGTGCGCTCGACGCTAGCCAGTGTGGACGACCTCTCCAAGAATGTTGCTATTCGAGACCTGGATGCCGCCTTTGCGTGCACTGTCGGCATTGGCAGCGATGTCTGGGACAGTCTATTGCCCGGGGTTCCCAGACCGGCTGAGCTGCACCCCTTTCCCACCATTTCTGGAAAAGTCCACACGGCTGTTTCCACGCCTGGGGATCTGCTATTTCACATTCGGGCTCAGCGCCGCGACCTGTGCTTCGAGTTCGAGCGCCAGCTGATGGATCGTTTGGGCGACAGTGTCAAGGTCGAGGATGACACCGTGGGATTCCGGTACTTTGACGTTCGCGATCTTCTGGGTTTCGTGGACGGGACGGCAAACCCTGTGGGCACTGCGGTCGACGACTCGGTCCTGGTGACGGAGGCAGACGACGCAGGCTCTGCAGGCGGCAGCTACGTCGTCGTGCAAAAGTATGTGCACGACTTGAGCAGGTGGCGGGGCTTGTCCACGGAGAAACAAGAGGCAATCATTGGGCGCACGAAACTCGACAACATCGAGTTGGACGACGTCGCCGAGGACAAGCAAAAAGCTCACAAGCAACTAGCCAACATCTCGGGGGACGATGGAACCGAGCTATCGATTCTGAGGGACAACATGCCCTTTGGCACACCCGGGAAAGGCGAGTTTGGCACCTATTTCATCGGCTATTCGAGAAAGCTGTGGGTTATTGAGCAGATGCTGGACCGGATGTTTGTGGGCTCGCCGCCTGGGTTGCACGATCGCATTCTGGACTACTCGACGCCGTTGACGGGGACGACCTTTTTCGTACCCAGTGCAACCCTCCTGGGGTCTTTGGCTGATGACTAGCGGTTGAGAGTTGGAACTTCTACCACTCTGCTCATCAATGGTAGGAGGACCTGGAGGAAACAAGTATGACTGAACACACCTTGCTTTCTTCTTCAAGCGGATGCTGCGTGGATGGCAAATATTGCTCGAGAGAATCTCGCACAGTCTTGCCTCATGTTGCCTCGCCTACAGCTTATCACGGATTACTAGAGACACTTGAGCATATGCAAGGTTGTCGTCATTAAGGAGGTCCGAATCTAACCTTTCCATATGCATTTCTCATCGACTCGACTGGTTGTTGTAAATTGTAATTCTATACCTCGTAATATGGCCCAAGTCTGGCAATGGCCTGTTAAAGCGGCGCACGTTGCTCGGGGGTTTTCTTGGGGGCTCCGAAAACCATTGAAACTTTTCCTGAAGTCGCATCCGCTTCGCGCGTCTTGTCCCCCCAGTCAATGCTCGGGATTGTTAGAGCACGGAAATTATCACAGCGGATTTTCCAGAGAGAGACATTCACAGTGGGGAGGTCCTGAGTCTGGTCAGAGGATCACGGCCGCGGCACAAGTCCCCAAAGGACGACGAAAAGGATGTCGACACCACGATGTCTCCGCATAGCTATTGAAGCATGCCGGCCCCAGAAGGTATGGAAGAGCCTCACATCGCCCACATGGCAGAAAGAAGCTGTTCACCAGGAAGTCGTTTCCGCATGATAGCAGCAGCGGCGCTCTGGAGCTGTTCTGAACATGTTCACGATTGACTGACTTGTGTGTTCGATGTCCAGACCACCACCGTTCCGCTTCGACCTCGTGTTTCTGCTCCAGCCCATCGGCAACGATCGGTGCAGGCCTTTTGCTCGCATGCGCCGCGATATGAAAAGAACAGCAGAGACAAATCGATAGAAACGGGGCCTGTTGATATCACAGCAGGCTTCCCAACTCCGGAGATCGGGTCATACAAAATCCAGGATGCCTACGAGGAAGAGAGAGCTCCGGTCAAAGAGAGCGATAGAGAAGGCGACTCGGCGGCAGCGACGGCTAAGCCCAAGCATACGCCGACTTCAATACAGCGGTCCAAGCAGAGACCGGACGTGGTGTCGGAGGCTCAAGCCCAGGATCTAACGCAACCACAATCGCCCACAAAGCGAACTCCAAAAGCTACAAGGGGCTCGCTATCCACGCCACAGCTCTCTTCGTCCGAGAATACGACCGCGGCACCCAGAGATGAAAATGTAAGACCCAACGTACCACCCAACGTCCTTGCCGCGTACCGCACTCCGCTCTACCATCCTGTCACCCACGGGATCCCCGTGTGCCAGCTTCAGCTCCGCTCCTTCAGCACTCGCAACCTCGAGTTTTTCGCCGACTTCTGCGTCCGCGCCGCGTACTACCTATCGCTGCCCTGTCGGGGACCGACGCCCCTCCCGAAGAAGATTGAGCGATGGACGGTCCTCAAGAGCAACTTTGTGAATAAAAAGGCTCAAGAGAATTTTGAGAGGATTACAATGAAGAGGTTGATTACCGTGTACGACGGACATCCAGAAGTGGTCGAGACGTGGTTGGCATTTGTGAGAAAATGGCAGTTTTATGGAGTGGGTATGAAAGCAAATCTGTGGGGTTGGGAAGGTCTTGGTAAGTCTGGAGAGGCTCGCTCATGGCTACTTCACCATTACAACATTGTGTTTACCCCTTCAGCTACTGTGGACTGGTTGCCATGCGTTTGCGGTTTACCTGTAGTTTTGCTAACGTGTGTTGCTTTTTCAGATGTTGCATCCAAGATGGACCACGACTTCACCTCTCTCGAGAAAGAACTCGATAGCAAGCTGCGTCTGTTTGGATTCAACAAGACAGCGGGCAAGAAGAACGATCTGCTTGACCTACTCGAGAGACAGGGACATAGGCGTGAAGGTATTGGCATGAGCGAGGTTCGGGAGAAGAGCAGGACGACTGAGGATCCCTGGTAAGGAGGTTGAAAGGCTATTCGCACGCTATTGCACTCTGAGAGGGCTCGGGATACTATTGTGTATAGATAGGTGTACAACGAAGGCTCATGTAGCAGTGATACATTCGGCGGAGCAATACGGAGTGCCTTGCATGAACGTACCTACAACACATGCCTATCTCGCCATGTACTCTGAATACAATGATCATCGCTATTAGCGGTGATAGGGATGTAACATGACTAAGTACTTGTCCTCATTAATACACGTCCACTCTTGTTCTTTTCCCTGCTCCATCCAGGTGGTACGGAAAGGCGCCGGTAGAGTGTTCGTCCATACCATCCAAAGTAGGAAACGGTAGATTGCAGAATACAGGCTGGGATGATATCCTTGTTTGGTAATAGGCATTGATGGTCCACGGCAAAAAGGGGCAAATGAATGACCACGAAAGAAGAAGGGAATTTGTTCCGCGCATCGACCAGCATCTGCGCCTCGACAACTTAGCAAGTCGGCATGAACCATCTCCACATCAAATCCCACATCAACTTTACTGTATCTTCACCTAGCATCTCCACGTATGTCCTAGTCAGCCTCAGCTGGTTCTTTTGCGGGGTGAAAACCTTCGTGCATCGGCCCAATGGATCCCTCCCACCCATCCCACACTTTGACCCATGGTGCGCTGGTTCGCGGGTTTAGTCTCACATAGCTACTCGATACGGGTGCCGGTCGCCTGAACCCTGGGCGTTTGTGTGGAATAATTCCACGGGGTCACTGGAGGATGTCAATATGAGACACATAGACCGAGTATAGACGACGCAGTCTCGTCGTTCCTCATGAAGAACACCAGGTTCTGCTGATCTCTTGTCTCCTTTTCAGCCATAACATCCAGCATTCACCATGTCTCCCGGCCGGATAGTCGCTGAAAACGACTACGACTTCATCGTGTGGTCAGTATTGCTGTCTTGGTGACTTATTCCTGTCCGCTGACTGTGTCATCGTAGCGGCGGAGGCACGGCAGGCTGTGTCGTCGCGGGCAGACTCGCCGAAGATGCCAACGCGCGGATCCTCGTCGTCGAGGCAGGCCCTCACAACAAAGATCTCGAGAACGTCCACATGACGGGCGGCTGGTCCAAGAACTTTGACTCCGACCTCGATTGGAATCTGATCACCCCGCCCATGGATGGCGTCAACGGCAGACAAGTCAAGCTGAGTCGGGGGAAATTCTTGGGAGGGTCTAGCGGTGTCAATGGAACCCTCTGTATCAGAGGCAACAAGCAGGACTATGATGACTGGAAGTAAGGCTCCCCAACACTGCGGTTCGGAGGATTCAACTCAGTGATTCAGGCTTCCGGGGTGGTCCGGAGAGGACTTCTTCAAGTACATGCGCAAGGTTGGGGAATCCTACCAAGTGCAAACGACATGCCAGCTGATGACAAGAAGGCCGAGACGTTCCATCCCAAACCGTGGTTTCAAACCGACGAGAAAGCCCACGGATACAACGGCCCGCTCCACACGGAGCCGCACGATCTCGCCCCGATTTCCAACTTGTTACTGGAAAGCATGGAAGACATGGGCTTCCCGTTGGTCCACGACATGTTCAGCAATGGCGAGACTCCGCATGGTTGTGGCCACGTGCCCCGGACTGGTACGTACGACGCATCGACGAGGTTCCTGTTGTAGATGGGAAGCTGATCCTGGCTTGCAAAGTCCACAAGGGCATCAGAACTACCGGAGCCGACTTTGTCACCAACGATCAACACAAGACCAATATTGACCTCCTGCTTGACACGGTCGTCGACAAAATCAACTTTGAGGAGAAGGATGGTGAACTACATGCCACGAGCGTGGCGCTCGTCGGCAAGGATGGCACCACCAGAGAAGTCAGGGCCACAAAGGAGATCATTGTCTCTGGAGGTGATTGCCAGATCTACCCAGGGTTACCGATGATGACAGCTAATGTCTGAAAGGCGCATATTGTTCTCCGGCCATCCTTCTCCGGTCGGGCATTGGTCCCAAAGCTGAGTTGGAAGAGTTGGGCATCCAGTGTCTCGTCGACTCGCAGGGAGTTGGGAAGAACTTGCTGGATCATCTTGTAGGCGGCGTCTCCTTTCGAGCGAGAGCCTGTCATGGGCTGACTCGATGCAGATTGTGTTTGCTTTTTACGAAGTCACCAAGGAAGGACTGACCAACGACCATCTTGTGTACGCTACGTTCTGCCTGACTGCGATTTCACCAACTAATCCTTCGTCCAGGTATCACGGCGACGCTGCCATGGCTGCATATATGCTATACAAGGAGAAAAAGGAGGGGATCCTCTCCACATTCCCCTTTGGCGCTTTCGCCTTTGCAAGGCTCGATGATCGCCTGAAAGATGAACCACTCTGGAAGGAAGCAAAGAGGGAGCCTGGCCGGGACCCGATGGGGTTGACTCCCAAGCAGCCAAACATTGAGTTTTTCACCACTGAGGTGAGCTCTCCGCACACCATCCGAGCTCCTTTATCCTGCTGACCAAGGTCAAAAGCTGTACGGTGGCCCCAAGCAATATGATCAGTTCCCCATTGGTGAGTTTAAGAGAGTACGCAGGTGCAGCCACGAAGTCTGACCGACTACCTTTAGACAAGAAGCATGCCTTTGCCATGATCACGGAGCTATTCTCACCCCGGTCAAGGGGCACGGTGACTCTGAAGTCCAAAGACCCTCTAGAAAACCCGGTGGTGGACTGCAACTATCTCGCCGACCCGCTCGATATGCTGGTCCTGTCTGAGGGCTGCAGGCTCGGCAATGAGATTGTCATGAACCTGAACAAGGTTGCGAAACAAGAGATTGTGAAAGGGTCGTGGCCGTCAGGTATGTACAACACGGCCACCCGTGACCAGGAGCATGACGCTGACCGCATGCCCAGATCTGACACATCATGCTTACACGAAACGGGAAGAATGGGAGCCTTATGTACGAAAAGAGGCCACCACATGCTATCATGCCGCAGGGACATGCAAAATGGGGCGGGATGGCGACAAGATGGCTGTTCTTGATGAAAAACTTCAGGTCCGCGGAGTCAAAGGCCTCCGTGTGGCTGACACCAGCGTGATGCCTACTCTGCACGGTGGCCACACTCAGATGCCTGCGTATGATGACTTCCACAAGATATTATTGGCTGATACTGACCCCGTAGCAGGTACGGAATTGGCGAGAAGGCTGCGGATCTGATCAAAGAAAGATGGTCAAAAGCCTAGGATGCAGGAAGGATGCCCTGCCAAGTAGCCGTGGCTAGTATGGTGTTGTTGGCAGACAATCCTTGGCCTCTTCATCCAGGGGCGTCGCTGGGCCAAGCTCGTGCTTGTGACATACGGCAGAATCCAGCCTGACAAGTGGGTTGTGTCATGCTTCAGTGAATACTGGTGTACAGCACCATGATCAACGTGTCCATCACCGGCAGCGTCTCTACCTCCTCTCTACTTGGGACAAAGGGGACAAGGCTGAGTCTCTACGGAGCACCCAATGCTTCATTCCGCATATGTAATCCGGGTACGGAAAATATAGTCTTGGCACAATCCATAGCTGTGGATCCAATTAAGTTCCAAAAGCGGCGCCTTCAGACCATCCAAATGTGGAAACGCGGCATTTTATTGATCCAATCGCCTGACTGTCAACGAGCTTTGTCCTTTGCTCTGAAAGACAACCACTTTTTCCTCGTCCTCCTCTGGACATGTAAATTAGTATTATTCCTATACCTGTAATTTCAACTCGGCGTTTCTGTTTGGGGACGCGTACACTCCTTTGTTCTGTGAAATGCCCCGAGGCCTCGCGCGTGCGTCAGTGAGGCTTCATTGTCCGCGGAAGATCCAGTTCCGCCGCAAGCTCAGCAGCCACGAGCAGCCACAGCTTGCTTCGGTGAAGAGGGTGTCCCTGGGCGAGGGAAAGCCACCTCGGAGGTCCATCGACGAGACAGCGCGCGATGGCTCTGCCAAAGAAAGAACGGCGGGACAGAATGAAGATGATGATGGTAAAGACGAGATAGAGCAGCACTGGGCGCGCATGTCGCCGTCATCCAGCAGCATCCGACGAGCGTTTTCCGGCATCCAGCCCACGGGCGTGCCTCACCTGGGCAACTACCTCGGGGCGCTGCGGCAGTGGAAGCGGCTGCACGACCAGTCGACCGACCCGAAATTCGCCATGCACTACCGCTACGAGCAGTACTTTTCCGTCGTCGACCTGCACGCCCTGACGGCCGAGACTCCGGCGTCCGAGCGCCTGCGTCTGCGCAAGGAGTCGTACGCGGCCCTCCTGGCCCTGGGCTTGAACAATAACAGGAACACGACGCTGTTCTTCCAATCCGATGTAAGGCCGTCGTGCGACCCCAAATTTTTGTGGAGGGAGGTTCCTCATCAGCTGAAATCGAACGACAGGTCCCGCAACATGCCTCGTTGATGTGGATTTTGAGTACCATTGCCTCGACAGGGTACCTGTCCAGAATGACTCAGTGGAAGGTACGCGCAGAACCTCTCCACATGTTTAGCCGCCTACGGATTGAGGACTGAAACTGTAAACTTATAGAGCAAGTTGAACTTGCCCGAAAATGCCACCCTCGAAAGCGACGAAGCTACAGCGAAGCTCAAGCTCGGTCTATTTTCGTACCCGGTCCTGCAAGCTGCCGATATATTGCTCTATCAGTTAGTTGGATTCTTGCTCTGGTTGGTAGTGTTGCCGCTGAAACTTCAACAGACCATCCATTGTGCCGGTAGGGGAGGATCAACTACAGCACATTGAGTTTACGCGGACATTGGCCCGGGGTTTCAATGCCCTGGTCAGAGAATCCGCAGGTGGAAATGTCTTCCGAATACCTTGGCCGGTCATATGTAAGGTTCCCCCATTTCGACCCTTTCACCCATTCGAGGTACCAATCAGCATCACAGCCCCTGCCAAACGGATCATGTCCCTGAAGCGCCCGGAGCAGAAGATGTCCAAGTCGGACCCTGATCCCAAATCCCGAATCCTGGTGACCGACAGCCCAGAGGAGATACACGCGAAGCTCCGAGGTGCCGTGACGGATTCAGAGCCGGGCATATCTTTCGACCCTCAACGACGGCCAGGGGTATCCAACCTGGTCGAGATACTGCGGCACGTGACCGAGTCGCGGGAATCCAGCGCATACATCGCCCAGGACAACGCCAACGTCAGCATGCGTGCGTTCAAGGAGATGATTGCGGACGAGATCATTTCGGCGCTGCGGGGCGTGCGCGACAACTTCCTCGCCATCATGGACTCTGGGAATGAGCGGCTCCGCGAGGAAATCGAGTGGGGCGGCGCAAAGGCGCGACGCAAAGCCCGCACGACCCTCGATGAAGTCCAGCAGGCCCTGGGATTGTTTGGGGTCACACTGTCGGAGGAGGAGGCGACCCGGATCCGGGAGCGTCGGAGACAAGCCGTGCGCAAGGACCTGGGCACCGACCTGAACATCGAATCCAACCCGTTTGAGTCCGATGGGGAGGACGCGAGATTTGCCGAGGACTTGCCCGTCAGAAGCGAAGATCCAGAGTCACACCAAAAGGAGATGCAATCTGTCGAGCAGGGCAAGATGTGAAGGATGTCCGTGTCCCACAAGCGTAATGGCGGGAATCTGCTGCTGGGAATTGTCAACATCTGCGAGAAGTCCAGTTCAGACGTGACAGCGTTCTGGGGCTGATAGAAAACGTTCGGTCGTCTTCGCTGTTTGAGATGTAGCTGGAGTGCGGCGCGGATATTGTCACACCGGGTTCAGCATCTCAGCTGGAACCTGACGAGGCTGCCACCAAGAGGCACCGCAAGGCTCGGAACCCCTGACGTCATCGCGCCGCCCGATTTCGCTCCTTTTTTTTTTGGTCGCCCATGTAAATCTACAAGTCAGTCAAGTACCTCATGGTGCTTATGTATCTACCAGCAACACCAGCTTCTACCCCTCTTCTTCAATCAATCGATCACATACAATTAGCTCCCACAAGCATGAGACAGTCCCCTCCAAGGCAATAATAAACCGACACCCAAACCCATCTCATTTCTTCCTTGTTTTTCCTTTGTGCGACTCAATGCGCCCAATACCGCAGCTCAGACCCGTCCTTCCGCGACGCACCTGTCTACCCTCGCGCCGTCGACACGTCTCGACCACCTCCCCCTCGAGCACCCGCCTCCATCATGAAAAGCACCGGCACGACGGTGGCGGCGGCAGCGACGACGACGTCGTGGACCTGGCGTTCCACCGGCACAATCCACCCGAGAAGACGGCGACAAAAGGACCGGGTCCCATCATCATCATGCACGGGCTGTTCGGGTCGCAGCGCAACAACCGGACTCTGAGTAAGTAAGGAATCACCTCACACCCACACAGCTCCCCCGCCCTTGACAGTTCGTCGCGCGGTGTTCACATTGGAGGAAACTTCCTGTTCTGATTCTTGTCGGTATAGAGCGCTAGCCAAAGACCTCTCGCGGCCCGTCTACACCATCGACCTCCGCAACCATGGCGACTCGCCTCACTCGCCCGTGCACACGTACACGGCCATGGCGCGGGACGTGGAGCATTTCCTCGACACGCACAAAATCCCCTCCCCGACACTGGTCGGCCACTCGATGGGCGCCAAGGTCGCCATGACGCTGGCCCTGCGTCGACCAGAGAGATACTCGGCGCTGGTGCCGGTGGACAACGCGCCCGTGGACGCGGCCCTGAGAGGGGACTTTAGCAAGTACCTGGACGCGATGAGAGAGATTGACGAGATGAGACCGCGGCCCAAGAGACAGAGCGACGCGGACAAGATCCTCGCAAAGTACGAGCCGGACCTGGCGATCCGCCAATTCCTCCTGACGAACCTGGTCAAGATGCCTGTCGTCCAGCCGGGCGGAGCAGGCGGAGGAGGCGGCCCCGCGCACTCGTCGCACCAGCACCACGGCGCACGCAGGGACAAGGACAGGCACGACGCGACGGAACTGCGTTTCCGCATCCCCCTACACACGCTCGCCAAATCCCTCCCGAACCTGGCCGACTTCCCCTTCAAGGACCCGGACACGCACAAATACAAGGGCCCCACCTTGATCGCCCGGGGCACAAAGAGCCACTACGTCGCCGACGACACCTTGCCCGTCATCGGCCGCTTCTTCCCCCGCTTCGAACTGCGCGACTTTGACTGCGGCCACTGGGTCATGAGCGAGAAGTTTGACGAGTTTCGCGCCGCGCTGGTCGAGTGGGTGGACCGCGTCGTCGACGAGACATAGATGACCCGCACTCACTCCCCCTCCTCCACTTGCTGCAACATTCGAATGTTGGTTCTGTAGGTGGGTTGTCAAAGGGGATTCGGGGGAAGGAGAAAAGAAGAGACATCGAAGAAATGCCACAAGGAGGAGGAGGAGGAGGAGGACAAGGACAAAAGAGAAACCGCGGTTTGACTGGGCGCGTCGAGATGATGATGCACTGGTTCCCCCTTACCTCAATCATCCAAACACATCAGTCACATGTGTAACATACATATAGATAGACCAACATACTACCTATAGAAATGCTAGAGTGAAACGCTCCTCTGGTTTGGTTGGTAGAAATTTGATGGGAATTCTTTTCTCATTCTCGGTTTGGTGGTCAAGGAGAAGCCCTAACGGCAGGATAGAACGCATGCGTATGTATGCCTTGTGCCTATGCCTATGCCTATGCCAGCCTATACTGGGGCGAGTAATCTAGCATAAACATGAATGAACCCATTGTATTCGTTGAAGAATTGGGGGAGATGCACCGACTACAAGGCAGCCGGGCCACACTCTGTTCCTTGTGCAACAGCATCTAGAAAAACTAAAACCCCCCCTTTCTACCACAGGCAGACACGTCTCTCATTCCACTTTTGCTCCTACTTCCTTGTGTGTCCACAGAAGAGAGATAGAAAGAGATTGCACACATCCTGAGGCGCGAATGTCCTAGCCTGGACTCGCGCAATTCATGGACCAGCGAGCCGTCGAGGATATCAGCAGCCTACGTCGAATAGCGCGCGCCTCTCTCGTCCTCCTCAATCATCACCCCCCTCTCCTTGAGCTCATAAAAGGTTTTCACATGTGCTTTTCGTGTTTTTTCTTTCTTTGGAATTTATTCATAGTGACACGCAATGCAACCCCAGACATCCCCAGCCGGTTTACACGCTCTCCAGAGGTGCGGGCTCCTTGAACTCCCTCTCGACCTTCCGGCCTTCGTCATCCTGGCCGCTCTCGCCGTGCAGACCCAACAAAGCGCCGAGGTCGAACTTGGGGGCCTTGAGCAGCTTGACCTTGCGGATGTGTACGTTCTGGAGGGGGTAGATGCCTTGGGTGGACTTTTCAATCTCGCGTCCAATGACTTCGGGAATGAGTTTGCCAGTCAATTGGGCGAGGGTGACACTGGTGGCCTCGCGTTGGATGATCTCGGTCATCTTCTTGCGAATGGCCCGGATTTGCGAGGTAGCGGCGTATGTTGTCTTCTTGATTTGGTTGGGGCGACGCTTGGTGAAGGCGATGGCGAACAGCCGCAGAAGGTAGTCATCCGTGGTCTTGACAGTGACGTTGGCCTCGATCAACGTCTGCCACTTCCTCACCAAACTCCTCAGCTTGTCTGAAGTGAAGTCCAATCCGTGGAAGTTGGTCAGGCAGTTCTTGCCCTGGATCTCGTCAACCCGGAGCTTGACCTTGCGGAAGGCATGGTCCTCGTCGTTCTGCAGGTCGGCAAGCGAGACTTCGAAGATACGGCCCTTGAGGGCATCATTGGCGGATTTCAGACCCGTGGTGCGGTTCACGAGGGTTTTGCCGACACTATGAACACAAAAATGTCAACGCATGATTCCCTACGAGCAGCCCTTAAGAGTGTGATTGTAGACATCTCTTGTTCCCTTTTGTTCCTTCTCTTCGCAGTGGTGGTGGTTGGGGTACATTGGAGGGGGACGTACTCTCGCTGGTTGAATGTAGACGGAGCCTTGATCGAATACCAATCTTTCCGGGTGAAGGGATCCTGCGTTCTCTTCTTCAACCCCTTCTTTCCCTTACTCAATCGCTTGTTCCTGGAGAGCACAAAAATGTTCGTCAGTTCCTGGTCTTTACAAGGTTCGCTGCCTCCCTGCGCAGTGTTGTGCGTTTGCGCAGAATGTACAACTTGACCTGCTGGGCGGGGGTAGAGGACTGGACTCACTTTCCAACAGCCATGATTGCGACGGGTGTCTTGTCGCAGGATTAAGCTGTCTGGGTCCGATTGAAAAGGCAACACACAAAAGTTGCTGATGTTGGGGTGAAATTAGGTAGAAGACGATGGGGGTGGTAGAAGTTTTGATATCGCAGTCAACCGCAGTATGTGGGCGGAAATATTCTCTTGGCACCGAATATTGCGGAGCATCTTGGCTTTTGGCGTAAGATGTTTGCTACGGTGAAGCACTTCTCACGGCACTCGCGCACTTTCTATATCAACCAGTAACAGTCACTGTTAATACATACCACGGACAACAATATTCTCGCGCCTCGCAGTCATCAAGGTTTTAAACACGACAGTATGAGAAAAGGCGAAGTTTGATTTTTTACTTGCACAAGATCAATGACGGGAAACAATTCGGCCGACTCTAATTGCTTCATGATCACGACGAGACTTCATTTTACGCGCTGACTCTATTCAATAGTCTCTGTAGTATCAACCGCAACAAGCCCCTTTTGGATAGTCTGTGAGAATATCTATCTCTTCCCTCCCCTGCTGTGGATGCTTTGCCTATGATCCCTCTCATCTGATCATGGATGCGTTGCTCGTCAAATCAATTCACACGTATCTTGTGTCGTTGCCTTCTCTTTACACACTCATGTTCTTCATCTTGTCTGCGACATTCTCCGCCGCCGGCATGTCTCGCTTGGGGCCACCTTCAGGCGCGCCTCCTGCCTTTGGCTTGGGTGGTTGCTTGACCTTTGCCGAGGTCGTATCTTTGGGCAATTCCTTTGTGTATGGAATGATGTCCGGCGTCCCGGGTGGCATATACCGTTTCAAGACCTCGGGCACTTCAATGCCGTCTTCTTTTTGATAGTTCTCCACCAGACAGCACAAGGTCCTCTCTGTAGCACACAGCGTTCCGTTCAGGGCATGAACATAACCCTTCCTCGTGTCGATGGCGCCCTTTTTCTGTCCGTACCTGATCTCCAGCTCTCGCGTCTGGTAGTCGGTGCAATTTGAGCAGGATACGAGCTCCTTATATTCGCCTTGATACGGGAACCACGCTTCCAGGTCGTATTTTTTGGCCGCTGCGTTGTTTAGTGCGCCCGAAACGATCGCCACAACCCGGTAGGGGAGCTTCAGGGATTGGTAGAACTCTTCGGCAATAGATTTCATGTCTTCCAGCGCTTGCCAGGATTCTTCGGGTTTGACAAAGAGGAATTGTTCGATCTGGATAGACGTCCTGTCAGCACAAGCAGGCGGGAGTTTCTTGGAATGATGGAAAGTCTTGCCTTCTCAAACTGGTGTATGCGAAACAACCCCCAGGCATCTCTCCCGTGCGCACCAGCCTCCTTTCTAAAACACGAAGAATAGCCTGCAAACTTCATGGGCAGATCCTTTTCCGTCAACCACTCGTCAGCGAACATTGCCGAAATGGGCTGTTCGGAGGTCGCAATAAGAAACTTGTCCTCTGCGTCCTTGTCTTCAACGACCTTGTAAAGCTCTTCATCGAATTGCTCCAGCTGTGCGGTTTTGGCCATGTACTCTGCCTTCATGAAGTAGGGTGGTTGTAGTGGATCGTAGCCCTTGGAGACGAGGAAGTGTAGGCCGTAGTTGATGAGGGCTTGGTTCAGCAGGACACCCCATTTGCGAAGGAAGTAACCTCGATGGCCGACCAGCTTGACGCCTCGTTCGCCATCGTAGACTTCTGCCCGGGTCATCACCTCATGGTGGGAGAGACAGTCTCGTTTTTCTTCTGTGAAGCCTTCCGGAGCCCACTTCTTCACCACCTCATTAAAGTCCTATTGCCCTTCATTGTCAGTCTCGATTCTTTCGGTCGTGTGGTATTGACTGGTTTCAACTGACCTCGTTATCGTTGACCGGCACCGACTCGTGCACATAGTTGCCAATCAATTTGCACTTGCGGTCTCTCAACTTCTCCTTCTCTACGGCCTCCTCTTCGACCTTCTTCTTCTCCTTTTCCAAGTTGATCTTTTCTTGTAGCAGATGGTCCGCGTCTTGCTTTGCCTATACATCACAACCCATCAGTCCGGGACGTTCACGGGAATATTCATGGGTAGGAGGGGGTCGACCGACTTTCTTCAACTGCCCGATCTCTTTTTGGACCGCATTGATCTTTGCGCCAAACTGGCTGGCCTTGTACCGTGCTAGAACCTCAGTTAGAGCCAGTTCCCACGGGTACACAAGGGGGACATACTCTGATAGGCGTCGTTCCAGAGCGCAATGACCTCGTCGACGATCTCGGTGGGGGCGTATCGCTTTTGCAGACTCTCAATCACTTTTTTGGGATCTCCCCCTCTAAACGGAACCGGTGAGACCAAATTTGCGACGCTGACCTGCAGAGGGGCGATCTTACCTCGAGACAATGAGGTCCTGAACTTCGATCATGATGACGAGAGGATCGGGAGCAAGGCAAGCACGAGAAATGGAGGAGTCTGCAGGCTGGTAGATTGCGCTTCTCAACTGCACGTGTGGTGCAGGTGGTCGAACCCCCTAACAAAATGTGTTTGTGCCCGCGCTTCCACCCCACGCAACCTGCGGAGCCTCGTGAGTCACTCCGACATGTGCCAGCCAGCCACCACGGCCCCCTTCGATGAAGATGCAATATTTAGAGAGTCAGCGTGTCTAAGACGGAGATCTCACAATGGCGGAGAAAACCAAGTATAGGGCGATATTATTATCCTAGCTACTTTGCCCAAGTCATAGCCAATTCCATCTCTTTCCTCTATTGCATGATCTTGCGAACCCGATACAGCGAGCATCCTCCCTCGCTCGACGAGCGAATGAAGGATCCTGGTCTCTGAGTGAGCCGCGTTCACCTTCCCACCCCCTCGCTTAAGCCCGGGGGTGACTGACACATTCTCACGATAGACGCCCGGTGTAAAGCCAAACATCTCCATGTCTATCATGCTACTCCCCAACGCCAACTGAAGCCGACCGCGTAATAACAATAACAACAACACCACCCACCACTTCCGACATGTTGAGACAACCAAATCCAGAAAGAAACTCCTCGAAATTAATCAACCCCAGGCGGCACCGAGTTCCCCTCGAGGGCCTTGGAGAGTCGTGCAATTGCTGCTCTTCACATCACCGCACACTTGCCACCACCGGCAGGCTTGTCTGGTTCCTGCGACTTCTCGATTTCGGCAATCATCATCTCGAATGCTTTTGCGACGTTGTGGTTATTCCGTGCGCTGGTCTCAATCCAACCACAGTTGAGTTCCTGGCCGAGCTTTTGCCCTTCTTCGGCGGTGACCTTGCGCTGCTTTTTGGCGTCGACATCGCTCTTGTTGCCGACGATCATGATGGGAACGGACTCGGCACCCTGGACGACCGGGGACATTAGCACAGCCTGCAAGAGAGGCCGGGGGGAGGCTTTCAGGGTGGCTTACCAGATGATTCAAGAGCTTGTCTCGGATAATCCTCACCATGTCAAAGGATTGCCGCGAGGCCACCGAGTAGACGATCAGGTAGCCATGTATACCGATGTACAGCTTCGAATTCATGAGACTGTACTCGTCCTGTGTCCCACCAAAACGTCAGCGCACTCCAAAAACCCGCCACCTGTTCTGGAAGCATGATGCCTCGTACCTGTCCAGCAGTATCGATGATTTCGGTGAGAAACGTCTGGCCCTTGTAGGGAATTTCATGGCTGAATGTGTTCTCGATTGTAGGATAGTAGCTTTCCACAAAATGTTTTTCGCAGTATTGGACGGTCAGAGAGGATTTGCCTGCGCAACCGAGAAAGGGAAACTTGTCAGTCTATGGCCGTCTTTCCCTTGCCGTCTACTGGCTCTTTTCCCGTGTACAACAACATGTCTAGAGGGAGAGGACTGACCGACAGATCTACTGCCCAGAACAGCGATCTTTCGCTGCTTGACCGAGGGAGCCATGTTCGACACAAAAAATTCTGGGAAGGTTTGTTTTCTCAAGGGGAAAACAAAAGTATGGCGTCACAACCCTCACAACAACAGCTCGGATCCCAAGTCACAGCCCAAGAAAACAGTCGGCAGCTTTCCTAGCGCCAAAAAAAGGGTGTATTCGAGAGGCAAAATGTCAAGTAAGAAATGATCGTCAGAGAGAAAGCGACAGACAGGGTAAGGCCATGGAAGAAATCGAATACAGGCCGACCGGGCCAGATGGAGCAAATGAGTATGTAATAAGAACTGGGGTGATGACGGGCGGCGGCGGGATTACAAGTTTTGTTCGGTACCCAAAGCTTTTTACTAGATTTCTGTGTCAAGGTTTATTTTTGTTTGGTCTTGTCGTGTCGCAGCTGCGGATGAGCGGTTCTTGCCGTGATATTCAGTGAAATGGTATGATGAGATGCCGATGGATGGGACGAGATGGAGGAGGGGTGGGTGGTGGTGTTGGTGGTTGTGTGATGGTAGTAGTGTTATGATGATGGTGGTGGTGATGGTGACGGTAATGGTAATGGGAATGGCAATAATGATCGGGAAGAGACGGTATGTATAGCCTATACTCGAACATTACCCAGGCCAAGTGGCTTGCCGTAACCTCACCGACATTTTGCGAGACTTGTACAAGGTAGCCATGTGAGAATTGGGAAAAGCATGCCTGGCTCTCTTTTTTTTTGTTGTTTGACTTTCTTCCGAAGCAATTCAGGCCACGAATAATCCAAAGTACCGGCGGGAATGCATTTTGTTTGGCGGGGGGAATTGTCGCAATACATGAAACCTGCACGCTACTAATATGCAGTATTTGTTCCCCGCAGCCAATAGTGACAAGAGTGAAAAGACTTGGATGGGGCCGAGGGAAGAAGCGGGCCTTGTATCGGGCCAAAGGGAGAGATTGGAGGGGTGGAGGGGTGGAGGAGGGGAGAATGAAGAGGGATGGATATACGGAGTATACCTCGTACTTTGTACTCGGTAGACAGCGTCGATCAGTATCAGGCACCTCTGCACCTCTGCACCTCAAGTCATCGTAGCAAGCGTCTCTCTGTACGTGTATGGATCTCGAATCCCGCTCAATGATGCCGGCATAGATGCACCTCCATATCCTGCACAACCAAAGCTCAGGGGGTATCAACGACTTCTGCTATGCGAACCCCATGGTGATCGACTCCAGACATATCCCAATATTCATTCCCTGTACCCAATGTCGTATGTGGTGTCTTGTAACTGTATGTCATATCTTTCATCATAGCCAGTCCTCGTACCCCAGGAATCATCAATCGCCTTGCTGCTTCACCGTCTCGAGCACCACCCTGAATCGTTCAGTAAACCCCGTTGAAGAGCTGCCTTCTTCTCCAAGTGCCGCCTCAACCGTCTGAAGATGGTCGAGGAACGTATCTGCAGCTGCAAACAAGGCTGAAAGCCCCTTTCCCTTGATAGATTGCGAGATCCGCTTGCACGCAGTTGGGTTCAGACACAGTGTGCAGAGCAATGCGGAAATATATCCAAAGGCGACTAAGATTCGAGTCTGATCTATGGTCAAGGCCTGTGTAGTAGTCAGTATCCCGCAATTTGGACTTTCAGTCAGAGGCACATACCTCGGACGTCTGGTCGACATGGCGGTTAAATATGTCCACCAGCCGCTCTACCATGTTCTGCCCGCCCACCATCGGCCTCAGCATACGCTCTCTGGCTCCATCTGCGCATTCGGCAAGATTGAGAAGGCATCCAACAGCCAGAATCACAGATTCAAGTTGCGCATGGTCAACCTCCTGCTCTTGCGTCGCACGCCTTGCCAGCTCCAGAAACTGGTCATCAATGACCCGAAACACGGTGCCGATAAGTCGTCCCTCAACTAAGGCCTCACAGGCTGTTGCATCATTGTTGCTGAGGCTAACGATGAGCCGAAGGCACGAGTGCTCAATTTGCGGTTCCGAGTGACGAGCTTCCTTCATAATGTTGGCCACACTTTCGCCCAGTCCCGCTATACGGGGAGTCACCACGATAGACCCGGTCAGCTCGTGGTTGGCACAGGCAATCTCCAATATTGACAGCAAGAGTCGGATGGTCTCTATCTGCTTAACCATACCACCCACTTCGGCCATGCCCTGCATCGTCGCAAAGTTGGAGAGAATAGCGTCGAGAAGTCCTCGTGGTAGTTTGGGAAATGGCTCCTGGAGCCGGATAAGATTTCGCAGAGTAGATTCTACAGAACTAAGCACGGTTCTGTTGACAGCCAGGTAGGGTTGACCTAAGCCTTTGGACCTCTTCTCCTCGAATTCTGCAATATCTCTTACAAGAATCCTGGAGATGTTCTGACTTCGGTCTTTCGCAAGTTTGGTCAATGACCTGGATTCCGAAACCAGCCGTGGAGGTAGCTTGTAAAGAGCATTCAACATCTGAAGCACGACCTTTGGCGATGAGCTTTCCGCGATGACTGTGCAATGAAGAACTAGAGCAAGCAATGTCGCGCTGACCTCGTCCAGGGATCCGTTTACGCAGTCTAGGAGACGCTGAAGGCCACCAGAGTCTTGGAAATGACGGAGGAAAGAGATTTCGTCCAGCTTGGGAACAAGTTGTAGAAGCCCTGGAATGCGTCGTGACTTGGAACCTGATTGAATATCTTCCAAGATCGTGTCCAGCTCCAAGTCGAATTTTCTGATTGCTCCCCCACGTCTCAATTCGTGGATGCTTTTGATCCGGCTGAAAGGGTCGCCTTCATCACTGTCATCATTGTCTAACTCCATCTGCGACGTCACACTGGTGAATGCCAATGCCTGAGAATATATCTCCTGCGAAGAAGGCTGGCTATTTGACGCTGAATAGCTCTCCAAGCTGTCGGCCATCTCGCTCAAGTATGACCTTTGCTTAGCGTAAGTGGCTCTTGGACGTCCCGAGGAAGCAGCAATGGCTGTACTGGGTGGCTTCTTTTCGGTATCAAGACTAGCCTTTGCCTGGCGATCTTCTGAAACCCTTCCAAGTGGTGCGGTGCCGCTATTGACTTGATTGGACTGTTGCTCTTGCGATATCTCGGTGCTCCGGGCGCGCGGAGCGTCCAGTCGGTCAATCAACCTAGTTCGGCTGCTTCTAGCCGGCTTGAGAGGGACATCATCCATCTGCTCGTCCTCGGACGAAATGTGGAACTTTTGCGAACCTGAGTCAGGCGTCAGACGAAGGGAAGTCAGGTGCAGATCACTTGGAGTGGGCGAGGCGACCAGACTGTCGTCTGAATCACGCCTTTTCCTCTTTGGAGTGCTTCTACCAGACGGCTGTGATCGGATAGATGAATCTGACTCTTCCGGAGACGCGACGTTGGAGACCTGAGGTCCGTGTGAGCGAGGCGCCTTTGGAGGCATTGGCTTCCCCCGGAAAGCTGACCTGCTGGTGGCAGCCCCTTTCACTGGAAGCTTGAACACAGGGGCGACGTTGGCTGCATTCGAAGAGTCTGGTGCAAAATTTCCGTGTACGGAC